TCATAAATATTGACCTGTGGTATTTGTGAAACAGACAGCTCAAACTACGACTATGCAGTGCCTGAGCTGAGCTCAGCGCCGTTGCTGACGAAGCGGCGACTGGACTCGCTGTCGGAGCGAGCGACCGACCTGGTGGAGGACATCGACACACGACGCTCTGCGGGCGGGTCCGTGCGCTCCAAGCATAGCAATCGGGTAATATATTCAATACCATACTCATATACTCATATACATACAATAAAATTTGTCAAATTATTTTGTCTATAGGCTCGAAAACCGCATTTTGAGTCTTTGATAATATACTCTCAATAAGTTAAAACTTAAAGTCGTAAGTAAAACCATTTACTAATTTTAATTTCAGTCACCAAGTCAACAAGAAGTATTCATAGATCTTAAGAGACGTCTGGAGACCACCAATGTGATAGAGTTCCCGAGACATAGACTGAGAATGATCTCCAAGTTAGCTGAAGGTGCATTTGGCACGGTACGTACTTTGTCATTTTAGTTCTTTTTAACTTTAAAGACACTCCAGCATTGGCTTGCGTTGTGAACAATATGCGTTTGATATCAGTGTTCTATTGAAGACTATGTATAAGCGAAGTTCTGCTATTCATTACACTGTGTTACTATATTATGTAGGTACTACATTCTGAATAAAAGAATTGATAATGATTTCCTTTGCTTTTCGTTCTAGGTATACGTAGCGGAGGCTGACGGGGTACCTGAGTACAATGGTACAATCACGTCAGAGAAGCGGCTCGTGGCCGTCAAGTTCCTGTGCCACGACGCCACTGTTAAGGAGAGGTATATCATGTATGAGCTTTAGATTTATACATGTTTTTTACATGTCTCTGTCCCTCCCCACCTTACTTCTGTGTCGTCCACCTTCTGTGTTTGTCCGTCTTTCGTATCTATTAGCTTAAGTCAGTCCAAGTGTGTCACGATTTTCTTTGTTTAAAGAGTTTGCATAACGTACCTGTCATTGAACAGCAAAATACCGAGTACTGGCTATTGTTGCACAACTCGGTAGGAATAAGATCTTCTCTTTCATCACTAGAAATCTTTGTTTTCAAAATATAATCTACCGTTAAAGATTTTTGAATTATTAATCAAACGTAATTTTCGTGTGATAACAAAAGAGAAATAAGTCAATTTACCCCTTCATACTTAGGCTGGTCCTAGATGCATAGAATTAACTCAAGGTTACTTATAGGGATGAGTTTGAGCGTGACGTGCGTATCTTGGCTGCGTTATCTTCCCCTCACTTGGCTCGTGTGCTGGGTGCGTGTCGGACGCCTCCCCTGGCCGTGGTGTTGGAGTACTTGGAACTCGGTGACCTCTGCGCGTTCCTCCGCTCCGCGGTGCCTCCCGCCGCACATATGCTCCTGCACCTCGCCACGCAGATTGCTGCTGGAATGCAATACCTCGAGTCACTCAATTTCGTACATAGAGATTTAGCTGCCAGGTTTGTGCTCTGATTGTAATTATGAAGCAATGTCATTCTTTGGAATTCTATTATTTTAGGTGTGTGATTATTTTATGATATTAATGTAACATTCTCAAATTCCAGAAACTGCTTGATAGGAAAGAACTTCCAAGTAAAAATCAGTGACTTTGGTACCGACAACGAAGCGTATGCGTGTGATTATTACAAGGTGGACGGTCGGATCCCACTGCCGCTGCGGTGGGCCGCCTGGGAGTCTGTGTTGAGGGCCAAGTATACCACCAAGAGCGATGTCTGGGCCTTCGGAGTCACACTGCACGAAATCTTTACCCTGTGCAGACGAAGGCCTTACGAACATTTGACTGATAACGAGGTACAATACACTTGCTAACTAATTACTTGCTATCGTATCTGCCGGTATGAGGTAGAATGAGTAGTAACCGGGGTATGTCGTGATGCAGGTGCTGGAGAACCTGTCGCACCTGCAGGCGGACGACGGCCTGTTCGAGTGCGTGGACCGCGCGGCCGGGTGTCCGCGCGACGTGTACGACCTCATGTGCGAGTGCTGGCGCCGCGACGAGCTCGAGCGCCCCACCTTCGCAGAGATCCACCTCTTCCTACAGCGCAAGAGCCTCAACTATGCGACCACGTGATCCTGGCATTTACCATGCCCCAACATTTACACGGGCATGAGTTATTAACGAACGAGTCGGAGCAAAAGTTGAGGGTTGGAACTGAGTGCGATGGGACAGGGCTGCGTCTGCTACAACTTGCAGCCCGCTGAGACACACGAAAGCGCCGAAATGGCCACTAGGTTTTGAATTAAGTTGTAGGTTTTGGTGTGTCCACGGGCCAACCGACGGAGATATCTTAATTCGATAGAATATTTACTTAACCTATCTCTACTATATATTTGTTAGTATTTAAATCAAAGTAGAAATGAGTAATAATTACGTGGACAATACAGTGCAATAAAGAAATCTCCGGTCGACGCCCGTGGGATCTTCGTACTCAGCCTTTGCTCCGAATGTTCGTAGCCTCGTGATCGTCTGTAGGCGAGGAATGCTTCTGTCTGGCGCGCTGGTTTTTGTACTTAATAGAAATTCTTGTTAGGTGGCTTCACACGTCCGATCGGCTTTATGCACGGCTTTGTCGAATGCTCTGGTTTGTAACAGTAGATGGGCCGCGCCAGCCAGTAGCATTCGTGTAGTGCGAGTGGTCACGAGGCGTACTGTCAGTTCATCGTGATGTGATTTATTTGGCAGCTCATGGACTTTACGCCGCTCTTAGTCATACCGGTGAATAGATTATAGTTTTATGTGTACTGCGTAACTTTACGAGTGAGCTACGTATAATAGACATAAGAAATTGATCTTCCTTCTCTCTCCCCACGCTCACTGGTCAGTGTTGTTGTTTAGATACTTACTTTACAAGGCACCGTATGCTTCCTATACTGTAATGATGACGATAATGTTCAAGTACATCCAGATTCTTCCGCTTAGAACATGGTACTCTGGTAATAAGTCTATCCTGAAAGGTAAAGTTACCAAATCGAATAGTCATTTATTTTCGTACAACACTTCATTATAAACAATAAACTAGGGCATAATTATTGTAATAGTAAGTTGTTAGTTATAGTTGCAACTGAATCGAATAAATCAAACTCTATTAGAAATAATTAAAGGTATATAGCTGTTGAGATTTGTCTATTTTCCGTAGTTTGCTGTGTTGAAGTTAGATTGAGCAGTTGTTCTGACAATATATCAGGCGGGCCGATGGCCGCGGCCGTTGTTGCGTTTAGATACATGCGATGACTCCACCGAAATGAGATTCGTTTTATATTGTAAACTTTATTTATTCTTATTTACATTTTATATCTTTACATCTTTATTTATTAGAATAACGTCTTGTAAATCATATTGTTATACAACTTTATCTAAGATGAAAAGGACTATCTATTTTGTTTGTATAAGCTTAGTATTTTTATAGACTTGTTGACGATCATGCGTGTATCCGAACGTAAGCTTATAGTGTTATCACTAGTTCTTACGTTCCCCTCTCGTGGACCTAAACGGCTTAATGTAATGGGCCTAATAAATTAAGCACTAATTAGATGTAAGCGAGCGATATTTAGGTTGCAAGTTAGTAAAGTTTGAATCTCGATGGCCGCTGCGTAGAGGACACCCAATGTTATATTTTTGGGAAGACTATTTATAGCACAAATAACGAAATTATAAAAGTATATCTTAATATTCTTCTATGAATTTATTAATTTCGCGTTACTTATGAAAAGCAATACTCGTATGTACTTACAACATTTTAATTACTATAGCCTATAGCTGATAAAGTTCGTTGTTAAGATAATATTATATCATGATTGTGAACGACTACTGATTATTACCACAAATATACTTAATTTAAACTTTATGTGGAATTGTAGATCTACTGTGAGGCTGTCTAGTGTAACATATTTATTTATTATATTAAATAAAGGCTAATCTGTACTTTGCGTAATAGATATTTTATTACAAAATCAACGACCTGATACTATTGTTGAGTTATTTAGATACAAGCAATGAAATAAACAAATTTAACTTATTTCGTGATATATTTTATATTATAAAGAGTTGCTAAGTAAGTGAGATAATTTATAGGATATACAAAAATGTTTATAGAGACAGTGTGACATATTCGCCTTGTTACTTAACTATACAGTTTACGTAAGCGACTTGTTCGGGTGTCCCGTGCGCGGCGGCTGCGTACACGGAACCAATGTTAATTAGGCTAATCGAACACATAGAGGTCTAAATAATTTCTAAGTAGACGACTATCGTACACTAAGATACGTTACTTTCAATCTGGCCTTAATTTGTTCGTTAATTACTACTGTCTAGCTGATAGTACGGATGAGAGAAAGAGTAGTTTTGTAACGAAATCTCAATCCCCATATGCTAATGTATCGATAGTTAGTAACGTTAGGCACTAATAATAATAATGTACAATAAAACACCCTCTCTGCCTTAGTGATGCTATTCTTACCCTAATGCTATGAACGGATATCAAGTTAGAAGGAAATTATAATGTATGTTGTAAATACGAATTCTTATGGCTGATGTAATATATCGAGCACTATGGAAAACTTTAATTCCTAACAATGGTCCAAACTTCACTCGCTTTTTTATTTGTACTATACGATTATACAATTTCTATATAGATAAAGAAATAATGTTAGTCTAGAAATACAACTTATGCTTTAATTTTTATTTTATAGATGTATAACTTGTATTTGTCGAAATGCTTAATTTTCATAATCAAAGTTTTATGAAAAAGGTTGATACCAAATGCAGTATTTTTATTTTATACTCTACATCTTTGTACCCAAATAAAAGCAATAATCTAATGGCTTTGTTTTTGATTTCCCCACTTATCAGCAACACACAAGTTGTGAACTAGTCCTGCATCCGAAAAAAACAAAGGTTCTTTTTCTTCTTTCTCTCGGCTCCTGAATGGCTACTCTTTATGAATACATATTTACAAACACTTCTCTTATCGAGAAACTGCTAATAACAACTTCCTTTATGAAGGCGAAAACAATTCGAGCCGAGCGAAACTGAATAACTAGATCGGAGCAATGGCTCACTCGAAAATGGGACGGATAAGGTATCTGGTGTTAAGTGTGTGTCTGCTACAAGCCGCGCTTGCGGTCAAAGTCAAGGTGGTGATGCACTCCGAGCAGGAGGAGTCCAAGATGGAGGAGGAAGAGAGTACGCACACTGAGCCGTGGGATCACAAGAAGAGACTCGATGTCACCATGCTACCCTTCATCAAGACGCGCAAGCATGGCGACGACAAACAGATTGAGTTAGACGAAGAAAAGACTACCACTGAAAAACAAAAACAACAACACCCAAACGAAATGATTTTTCCGTTAATTTACCACCAGAGCCACGTCAACAGTATGTTTAAATTCGGTGAGAATTGGTATACTTGGTCTACTGAGAAAAGAACTGATGGTTCAAAAGCAATAAATTACTACATTTGCTACGATGAACCCAAGCGTTGTGACGACATAGGCTGGGTAAGACAATCTCCAATAACGACACGTTATATCCCACTTGTTTTTGTACCTTTTATTTATCTGCCATATAAGTAATATATTATTAGTTCCATGTTATCTGCACAGGAACGAACGGACGCGCTGCCGAAATGCGCGTTCCAAATAGATTCTCTACTACCGGATGATCGAGCCTGCATCAACAGCTTCGGCGTGGAACCCCATTCAGGAGGCATTTGTGACGGTGCTGAACAGATGAAAGTATGTCCCTAGTTTTTATTCGTTCTTATTTCTGGATTCAGCGAAAATAAGAAATATGTCAATTCTAATTTTTAAACATAAAGTTTTCTGTTATGTAAATGCAAATGCGAATACAGGTAACGAGAACTTAACGTACTAAGTAATAACGTAGTTTCCGCTTTCAAAATTCTCAGTAATAACAGGAGAGCCTATTTTTTCTGTTAGCTAGCAGGAAATAATCGGCGTTACCTACATAAGTACATTACCTAATTGTTTTTGGATCTTTTTATTAAAGTTAGTTTGATGCTGGTTTTTATACATAAAATTGGATATTCTGTAGTAGTCTTTCAGAATAAGTACTAATATTAAAATGACATTGTGTGGCAGGTTGCTGAAATAGTACGTGCGTGTGGTCCCCGCATTCGTTCCCTGTGGCGTTTCGTTCGTGTTGGACGCCGGCCGGCTAACGCGGCTAAACCGGCTGACGTCAATTCACTCATTTGTGAGGAAGAGGAAGAATGCTTTATAACTATCGAATACAGGGTGAGCTTTATTACTTTTTCTATCTCTACGTATTCGTACATAAAGTATATATAGTACGTAGTTGGAATATACTACTGAAATGACATTTATTTTATGGACAGGTTTGATTTTTGTTTTCCAACACCAACAGATACATCATGATCGAATAACATTTTCTCTACACGAGCCTACACGAGGGCAGACTTTTAAGAGCGTATTAAAACGCGAGGTCCCTGTAGAGGAAGAAAAGGTTACATCAACGACAGAAGTACATCCTCACGTCTTGCATCGGAAAAAGGTAACGAGGGAAGAGGAACCATCCAGGATCGGTAATAAGAAGTTCCACTTGAAAAGTAAAAGCAAAGCAGAGGGCAAGGGGATTGTCAAGGAAAGAAATGACTCGGGTACCTACGGAAACCGAAGAGCACCTAAGAACAAAATAAAGGTAAGAGAAGACCTCTCTGAAGATATTTCTGATTAGGGTTCCTGTTTGTCTGGGCAGCACGGTTCTTGGCACTCATGTCGCGGGCTAAATATTCGACTAGTGCCAAGAACTTAGGACATATTTTTGTACAATAATATTATTTCATGCAGTTTGAATAAATTAAAGTATGACTTTACAATATTGTTATCGGTGTTTCATTTATTTCGGCGTTCGGCGATAAATAAAACGACAGAGTAAAATAAAACGAACTATATATATTAATGTATAGTTTCGCTTAATAAATATGCATGCATTAGTTTTTATATTTTTTAAATTTCATTTTGGGTTGTTTTTGTTTGTGATCTTTGTTAACAACATTTTGATTGTAAAACTTTTTATAGTCGACGTTTTTGTATGCGAACGGCTTCACGTTGTTATCTACTTTCTTAGTGTTGTTGCTCGGTAATTCCTGCTTAACGTTATCATTAGTAGTGAGGTCGACTGTTTCCTTTTGTTCCACCTTCTCAGCAGATATTTTCCTCTTGCGTTGTTGAGTTTTCTTTTGTGTGTCTTCATTAACTTCAGGTTCAATCTTCACAATCGGCTTAGTATTATTCTTGTCTTCGTTTTCGATCTGTGTTTGCGCTTGTTGTAGTTTGGCAAGAACTTCTGCTTTTATCAACTCGTTGCCTTTACTAATAGCCGCCACCTTTGCTTCTTTTTCTTTGTATTCCTTCATCTCCTCCAACTGTAAAAATACAGAAACTTGTTAAAATATATACAAAGTGAGATGTCACTATGTAAGAATAACTGATATAATGTGGTCTTAAGAAATCACGTTATCGATTTCTGAGAACACTTTGTTTTTTTAGCCTTTTTAACCTTATGTCTGTCGATATACGAGACACAATAGAAGCAATATTGTGTCTTGCGTAGATTTGCGTTCTGACACCTCACAGGTTAAAAGAGCTACTGGTTTAGTTAGAATTCAAAGCCGACTATTTCAAATAATTCTACCACCTGTTTGATTAAAACTAGTTATGTAGTTTTAACTCAAAAACTGAAAGTGACTGAACGAATATGTCACAGCCAACCAGTTTAACTTGTCCTACAGGCTCGCAGCGAGACACGACACAGACATCTGCACGCTTCTACCACCAGTTGGATGAAAAATACCCCGACCATGAAACGATATAAATGGCATGCGTATGGAGAGACGAAATCCATAAAATGGAGTCCTTTAGAATGATTTTTAAGAAATAACACACCTCTCAACTAAGCTATTGTTTCTGCGTTTAACCGTAGAAAAAATTTTCGACTACCCCCACCACTTTAACCGTTCTGTTCCTAGTCTTGATAAAATCTTTCGATTGGTCTATGGCAGCATTGTAGCATTTCCCAGAATAGGCACTAGGCATCTACACTAATATTCTACTGAACTCAGATATTTATTTCTATATATCACACAACACAAGCTTTAATTATATTGTTCTCGTGTTCTACAAAATCATACAACTCAAACATTCATTTAAATATTAATAAACGCGAATTTAAAGTTTTTAAACGATTCCCGCCCATAATAAACAAAATTTACCCAGAAGAAACCATCATGTTTTTTTAATATACAACTTTTTGATTTGTATTATAAAAATGTACCATTTTGTAAATGAATGCTTGTTATAGGTCTTGTAATAAGTGTTCGAGTCAAGTCTAAGTTAGCCTAGAATGAACGAAAGTGTTGGCTGCGACATACATACACATTTTAAAACAACTGTACCTGAGCTATGGAACGATACTTTCTGTATCTGTCGTATGGAGGAATGAATAGTTGAGCATCTGCGTTCAAATCCGAAACCTGAAATATAAATAGTAAAATGTTAGAGCATGGAAGGAAAACATCCATTTAGTTCGTTAGATTATAAATTTCGAAGTAAAGAAGGACTATTTAGGGCAGAGTTAACAATGCTCGGTGAAATTTTATCAAAGGAATAAGTTTTTGACAATTCTTACATACTAATAACTGTCAAATGTCAATTTTATTCTAAAGTTAAGGATTATCTGATGATTTAGAAACCGTTAGATTTTTATTAGATTTATTAAATTAAAGGCCATTTGTGCCGTCATGTGACGTTAATCTACATAATACATAATATATATGTAACGCCGTGTTTAACTTCTGAAAAAATACGTGGTCGATACGTATTTTGAGATGAATCTACGAGACTGACATTCAAATAATTTATATTTAAAAAAAAAGAGAAGTTGATAAGGAAAATATTTTCGTAAACTAATCAGAAGTTTTGGTAAAAATTTAAAAAAATCTTACAATTGTTCCATATGATATCAAATTTCCTGGTGAGAATGCTTCAATCTCTGGCGCTGTGTTGTTATACTCAGTGTCCAACAGTTCGGCAGCTGAGTCCAAGTTGATCGGTTGTTCGTCACTGTAATATAATCATTCATTCTTATATTATAAGGTTGGTATTTGTATAATTTGACCGCTAACGCTGCACTGCGCCCTAATTGTAAGTGAGGGGGGGAAACCGGTTGGGCACTCGTTGTCAGTCTGCCGTCAATACTAATGGCGACAGCTGGTGTTGGAATACTAACTTACGAGTGGTGTGTAAAGTATAAAATTATTAAATAGGAAAATTAATTTCGGTTGTTCCAAGATTATGTGAGATATTATATTCTTTCCGGCTCCCACCACGAATTATCGACACGTTTTCGCAAGGCGTGGTGCAGCGGTTACGTTCAAATTACAATAAGGTTTTTTCTCTGGTTAGTATACCTTCTGATTGGTAAGTAAATGGTAAATATCTAAGTGATAACTTTAAGTAGGCAGTCATTTGAGAACGGATTTTCGAAATGATCTCTTATTGTTTACTCGTACTTTTGATTCGATTCAGTAAAATGACAGTTTCAGTGTGGCAACGTAATGTGTAGTCGATAGTAGTAAATGGTTTTCCATACTTATTTGATTTTCTTGTATGAGACAACCGCCCTTATCTTTTTAACAGTAATAAGTAATTGATAAATGATATTGATTCATTAATAATATCTTCAGACATTAAAAATCATTTATTTACTTTTTGACTAACTAAACCTATCACTATCAGTATGGTACCAATACTTTATAGTCGCTTTGCACTCTTGTATGACATTATGCGACAGTATCACATAATGTTGTCATCCATTTTATGCTGGTTTTATTTTGTAGAAAATATAAAATAAATACTATCTACTATTAAATCTAATTGATGAATAAATATAAACATTATTTAGATGTTAATAGCAACATATAATAAGTATTACAATGGTAAAATACTGACATTAATACCACAGAGGTTGATGCATGATTTGTATTGATTGTGTCAATAATATCGTAAAAATCGATCTATAATTTACGATTAACTTTAAATCAGTAACAAACTTCAGAATATTATTGAATTACGCCATTTAGCCACCAAAAAATCCGTTTATCTTCATTTTGAAAATAATAAATCGTTTATTTTATGCCCCTAATCGATTTATTCTTGTATGTGGATTTTATCAGTTGATATGATTCATTCAATATTTTTAGTCAGCACCATATCTCTAGTGAAACTTCAATTTAAATTCCAAACGTCATCCACAAAAACCAGGAGATCGCTAAACGAGTATACAAATTGTCAGTTTACTGAATAGAAATGAATAGTTTGAGAAATATTTGTTACACATTAAAAAGTCTGCCTCGTTGGCCAAGTGGTCCGAAGTGCGACTGCTGGGCAAGAGTTCGATTCCACAGTCGGGCCTAGTATTACTGGGTTAAAAATACTCAGTAGTACCACGGGGAGTGGAATTGTACCCTGTATATGGCAATAGGCTCACCCCATATTAGATAGGACTCATAACATAAATAGTGAAAAGTGGGTGTTACATTGTACAGTGGCATTAAGTGCCGTAATGTGCTCCTCTGCCTGCCCCATGGAGAATAGAATGTTATGTAAAAAGTGTTCAATAAAAATTTTATTACACTACTGAGATAAAGCTGAAGAATCTACAATATAATTATATTGTTATGAGGACTAAACATCGGAAATAAGGTCTATATTGCAGTGAGTGGAAAGCGGTCCGCTTGGGAATTCACCAGGTAAAGTTTGAGATAGGTCTTAGACAGTTGTTTATTTTACTTCCTAATAAATAACTAACTGATTAAGGACCTAATAATAAAGTCTACACGTATAAACATCACCTTCTAAACAGATGTTTGATCTGAAAATTCTAGAATATACATTGTAGAAGTAAATAAAATAGATATCTATATATCAGAGATCTATTAGCATTTTTAATTAATTTCTGCGGTCCAATCTCTTGATGTAAATGTCAATTCATCTATCAATTATACAAGCTATAGTAGTGTTGCGTCTTTGTGCTCGTCTATTATAACCTTACTAAATTATTATTAAAAACTATTATAATATTCTACAAAACGTCTGTCTGTTTATTACCAGTAGAGTACTTCTGAAAAAAAAAATGGTGCAATAAGGCCCCTTCTCGAGCAGCGAATCATGTTTATAATAAATCATCCGACAGACAGACATTGACCAAAGCATATATGTGATGTTTTTTTTTTAATTTGTAGGGCTAACGTTTGGCCTTTATCTCGCCTGGTGGTAAACGATTATGCGGCATACCATGGAGCACATCTGCCCATAAGTAACCTATTGGAGACACCTAGGTTCAGAAACACAGACACCGGCAAAGAATTCCACTCCTTAGCAGTACGCACAAGAAAGCTTGATGCGAAATGTTTCGTGCGTGTGGGTGGGACATCTACCATGAATCCGTGACGCTTCGCCGATTGTCTTGTGATACGATGATGAAAAGGACTAGGGGAGTCAAGTTGTACAATTCCTCGGTACAACTTAGAGATTTAGCCGAGTTGTCCCAAAGATGAGAACAGGACTCTCGAACATACAGGACCGAACCTGTGCCTGGTACAGGTTCCGCAATTGTTTCGGCGTGAAGTACGGCCTCACCCTCCTTAGGATACCCAACTTTCTATCAGCCAGTTGCGCTTTCGACTCTATATAGGAGCCAAACTTGAATGTGTGCGTCAGAGTTACGCCAAGAAGTTCAAGATGATAAGTTGTTGGAACGGACACATTCCGGAAAGTAGGAGTCAGCGGAAATTGACGTCGAGTAGCGGAGAATAGATACACCTGGGTTTTGCTTTGAACTTGACGAAATTGGCGTCACCCCAGAAGACCGCGTTCAAGGACGATTTCAAACGTTCGACCATGGCATCTCTTAGAGACCGGATCTGTGTTCAGCTAGTAGGCGCATTGGACACATACCTTTCAACAACTGTGCAGGCATCTGCATACCCAAAGATACCAGGCGCCAGGTCGTTTATGTGCAGCACAAAGAGCGTCGCTAAAACTACTGACCTCTGAGGGCTCAGTTGGCGATAATTATTTATTGCAATTTTAAGTATTTGTGACGTTTGCAGCCTTCGACCGCTGATAACTACATTCTAAACACAAAACCGGTGATCTTGTGTGATGTCCTATAATACAGGTACCATACAAATAACGCCGTACTTATGTGTGATCAGATAGTTTATGTAATGCTTGGGTTAAACAGGTTAGGAGTAAAATAAAGCAGAACATGCGTGAACATGCAGGAAGCTAAAGAAGCGGTATGATATGGTTAACAGACAGTTGTGTATAACTATGTGCACATATTACAAACAAAACTAAGTAAGAAAATGGTCGATGATAAAAAATGTCTAAATATGATCTTTTATAGAACAAGTTATACAAAATTGCAACACATAGTTAAGGTGTTACAAAGTCAAGTAACTACACAGCGAGCGCTAAACAATTTCATAAGTGTATGCGCATTATTACCACTGAAGTCAATTTGTAATTTGTTTAAATGAATTACAGTTTTGTACTTACTTCGAACATGTGTACAGTCATATATTTTCACGTTCGAAGAAAAAGCATACCTTAGAAGGGTAAGGAGTTAAATTGAGAACTTTTTATCATAAAAACTTTATTGTCTCAAACGCTGTATCATTGGTTATGTACTACAACTACAACAATGACATACATGAAGTACCTAACTAATACATAGAGTTAGAGTGCGTGGAATGTATGGTGCGCTAAGTACGGCACATTTACCTGTAGTCCGTGTAATGTGCGAAGTCGTGTACTCCATACGACGACAGTGGTTGTAGCGGGGTGTTCATAATGCTCCTTATACTTGTCGGCATTTGATACAGTTGCGGCTCGTTCGGCAACTCGCGACACTAAATATTATCTCATCTCAATATCGCCCAAAAATAACAGCCTTATTACGTGTCGGGCTTATTTCACACGTCAAGGGGGATTAAGAAATTTTCAATTTCGAAATTCTTCTTTTGTGTGTCACACAAACATAAAATTATACAACCTTAAAACTAACGCATTTTGTAGAGTGTAGGCACATATTACATATCTTTCATATCAAAACTTGTCTATTCTAATTTAATCACAAAAACAAAACAAAATAGTACAAATAACAAATATCAGTTCTTCTGAATGTACATTATTGACAACAATCACTGCTTCTGGTCGTGTGACCTTTGCAAATACTTTGGTATGATCACTGCTTTAGCAGTTTTAATTTATACTTAGAGCCGAACTCCAAACTATCAATAGTGCCAGAAATTTTAGATTTGTCTGACTTTATGAATATATTAAATGTACAGTCATAAAATGAGTTCGTCTTTTACTAAT